GATTTAGAAAAAAAAGAAGGGGGACAAAAGGCTCTTAATTTGAAGACCCTATAATTAGTTCCAATAGCCTATAGTGACCTGAAGTGAGAAAGCAGTCACAGACTGTGGCAGACAGGTGGCTGAGGTGGCCCACAGATGACTCAGGGGGCCCACAGATGACTCAGGGGCCCGCAGATGGCTGAGGTGGCCCACAGATGGCTCAGGGGGCCCACAGATGGCTCAGGGGCCCACAGATGGCTCAGGGGCCCACAGATGGCTCAGGGGGCCCACAGATGGCTCAGGGGCCCACGGATGGCTCAGGGGCAGGCAGATGGATGCTGGCAGCGGAGGACAACTCAGGTCTGTGAGGCCAGAGGCTACACAGGGAGAGCTCTGGTTTCTACTAATGGACTGAGGGGAAATTTGGAAAGATACTGTTAAAAGTCTGACCATAATAAGGGAGAGAAATCAGAATGGGAAAAAAAGGCCTGAACATAAATTTCAAACTAAACTAAATTGATAGCCACAGTTTAAATGGGGATTTCTTTCAGGATTAATTTTGAATCATCCTTTAAAAACAATGTTTACTACAACTTATTAAAAACAAAATAGAACAAAAACCTTTTCAAATGCAAAGTAAAACCAGCTGGTCCTTCAAAGATGACAAAGTAGTTTTGCTCATTCTACAGCAGAAAACCTTTGGGTGACTTCTTCTACTGTAAATAATCCCAAGGGGCATTTAATGGAAAATGTGCAGATTAAAGAAATGGCACAAACACACGTCTGAGCAGGAATGTGCAAACAGGGCAAACACATGTCTGCGCAGGGATGTGCAAACAGGATTGACACACGTCTGTGCAGGGATGTGCAAACAGGACAAATACATGTCTGTACAGGGATGTGCAAACAGGGCAAGACGGACGGTCGGGTCCAAACAAAAACCAAAACAAGACTAACTGGAGAAAAGAGTGAGCTGACAGGAATCAGGACAACACGGCCGGACCACCCTGGTGGGGTTGAGGCACAGTGCGGGTCTAAAGGCCAGAACTCTCCAACGGGAGGGACACAGGGCAGAAGAAACTCCCCCCAAATCAAGGTCTGAATGTGCCTCCAACAGGACACTCGTGTGCACTGAAAAGGGGACAAAAAGCATGAAAATACACTTTTCTCAGCAATATCACCAAAATGCACGAATAAAGAATCCTAAGGGCATCTAGACTAAAGCATGACTGGGGAGTTCAGGTCTGGCAGGCAGACAGCATGGACTCAGACCAAGTTCTAGGAGAAGGAGAGCGTGACGACCAACTGGGTGCCCACGGGCTGCTCTGCAGCCCCCACCCACCATGAAATGCAGGGGCCTGGAGTGAAACAGACCCAAGTGAAACAGCATGACCTTGAGTTTCACCCCACTCCCAGATCTCTATCCCCCAAACTAAACTGCCCAGAGCCTGGGGACGTGTGCAGGAATGGGGGACAAGCACCCTGAGGCTCCCGGGCGAGCTGGGTACTGGGCCAGCCCGGCAAGGGGGTCTTGTGGCAGGTCCCTCGCTTGCTTTGGTGAGAGAAAGCCCCACTGGCCGTGGTCTCCCCTCCCTCTAAAGTGCCAGCCTCCCGGGACCTGGCGGGCAGAAGCCGGGCCAAGACTTTAGTCCCTGGCTTACACTGTGCGTCTTGGCAGCTGCTCAGCCAGCTGCAACCATCTCAGCTTCCCCACAGAGGCTGAGAGGACAGGTGGGGGAGGGGGCAGAAGACAAAAGCAGGGCTGTGGTTCAGGGCCAATGAGGGGTGACAGGTGCAGGGTGAGAGTTCATGGAAGACAGACTTTAAAACTTCAATATTTATATTATTCCTTTGCTTTATAACGGCAGCAAAGACCAAACACACACATATACAAATTTTGGTTAATTTACAAACTGTATACTTAAAATTGGCAACCTTATTATACACTAATTAAAACTGGCAATCTGTCGTGGCATATTTATAACTTGACAGTATAGGCTATTTGCCTCTTATCTTAATTATTTTTTATTTAAAGTGGTAAGCTGAAATAGCAGAACCATAAAATGTAACATGTAAACTATGTAAGCAAAAGTAATCATTTTCTCCTTTTTATTGAGTTTTGGGGGTGACACAGGTTAACAAAATCACGCAGGTGTCAGGTGTGCAGTTCTACAACTCAACTGCCGTGCACCATGTCACGTGTTCACCAGCCCGAGTCAAAGCAATAATTTCTGAAACAGTGGAACAGATGTATGAATTGTTCCTTTCAATTCCATAATGCAGTCAGCTCCCTCCAGAGACTCCATTTATTACAATTAAATTTAGAAATTACTTGATAAAATTTCATTCGCAAATGAGCTCAGTCACCGAACTAAACAAGCTGCCAGTGTTCTGCAGACTGTCAGACGGGCCCTTAAAAAGGGTGCAAATAAAGCCAGCCAGCAAGCAAGCGCTTTCTGAAGGAACCCAGGACCTGGGTTGCTCAGAAACAGAGTGCCAGTTTTTCCTTAGAGCAACCTCCTCATCCTCTTAACACAGTCCCACAGCGCCACCTACTGTCTGAAGTTGCTGGCTCGCGTGCCCCAAAGACAGGCTCTCCCACTGAGCCTGCTGTGAGCATGGGCCTGTCCCCATGGCGGGGCCTGGGTGTTTTGTCCAGCACGCACAAGGTCTAGGCACATCAACACCAGGCAGGCCACTCTGGACGTGGGACAGGGTACGTGCGTGGGCAAGAGGGCACCTCTGAGATAAAACAGACGTGTGCTAACAGTACATATCTGTCAGAATACATGAATCTGTACACTGAAAAAGGGCGAGTTTTACTGTGTGTAAATTATACCACCAAAAATTCAGCTTGAAAAACAAAAATCCCAGAACAAAACCATGAGCAAGCCATAGTCTCAATCTGAAATGAACTAGACCAACACAGAGATCTGAAGGAGAATGAAGGAATGTATATTCCAAAAGCAGAAGGAAAAAGCTGCAAAAGACTGGGGAGAAAGTAAAGAGCAGGTGGTCCTGTCTCAGTGAGAAAGCAGAGGCCTGGCACTAATATTCGTGGACACAGGCTAACCGAATTCATGTTCATTGTCACCGAGGTTGCTGTCACTGCACAGATGAGGACACTGGTCAGCTGGCCCAGGACACGGCGCTCACGGGGAGGGCCAGGCCTGCAGCCGTCCTCCCCCTCTGCCCAGGCAACGCGAGGACACAGGAGAAGACAAAACCGAACCAGAAGGCATGATCCCATGACAACGAAAACCAAATGTGGGTGGCTCGCTGAGCCCACCGGACTGTCCATGTTGAGGCCAAAGACCACGCCTGCCTGGGAGGTACCGGTGGAAGAAGAGACCTCCACCCCTTCCTCTAGCAGCTCCAAGAGCGTGGATTTCCTCACAGTGTGAGGATGTGACGGAGGGGCCACACCGAATGCTCGTGCCCACACCTGCAGGTCACGTGGCTGTGCAGCCAGGCAGGTGTGCCTGCAGCCAGCGGTGGTGCACGTCTGCTGGGCACGGCTGGGCTGGGTTGGTGGGGTGGTCGGGCCATCTTCCAGAACTCTCTATTGCACACCAGGAACCATCCACGAGAGGGCACACCTGTGTTTCCACAAATCCCTCCTGCAGAGGAAGCCTCCGGAGAAACTGAAAAGCAGCAAGGGTGGGAGGATGCCAGACTTTCCTGCATCCGCAAACCACTCTCCTTGTTTTTTACCCATCAGCCTGAGGTTTCTGCACCCATTACCTTATTTTCAGTCATGACCAGACACAAAACAGCTAGAAGAAAATTAGCAACATACTCCTAAGAACAACACATGAATGGTTTGCACCCAACACTTTAAAGGCAATTGAGTTGCTGTGCCCCCTGCTGTTCCATGTCAACTAGCTTCCCTGGCCTGTGGCCACCAGCAGGCCAGGTGGAGAAATGAAACCAAACCTGCTGCTGCCTGAGGGGTCGGAGAAAAGGAGGCAGGCCAGGCCCCACGCCCCGTCACAGTGTGGTGACCCCTCCTGGGTCCTCCCTCCAATGCCTCTCCCTCAGAGAACCCCCACCCCTCCTTCCCCTGATCTCTCTCATGGGCAACACCATCCCTGTCACCATGGTGACAGTTGAGCTGTTCTCTGCCCAACAGCTGTTCTGCCCACCTGGTCCTGAGGCCTGGTCAGTACCTGCCACAGGTACTCGGCACAAGTGTCAGACAAAGCGAAGGGCAGGTCCAGGGTGCTGCACAGGCCTTTCCTGCAGGTTGCGACAGGTCCCCCGGCCTGCAGTTCCCAGCAGGACAAATGCCAAAGCTCTGAACCCATTCCAGCAGACACACTTCCATGTACCTGCACCTTCCCACATCACCTTCCCTGCATCGGTATGTCTGCAGCTCACCTGGGACGTACCCCCTGTCTCAGCTTGGGCAGAGGCCCCGAGCTAGGCAAGAAGAGTGTCTAGGGCCCCCACACTTGAAAGACAGGTGCCCCCCATGTACACTGAACACACCAGGAGACTGTGAACCCTGTTCTGTGGTCCCTATGTTGGCACCCACATGGGGCTGATGAAAAGAGGCCAGAGCAGGACCACCGGGACCCTGGTGCTGGCCTCCCTGCAAAGAGCCCTCCGCCTGCCGCCCTCCCCACAGCCCTGCAGGTAGCCCGGAGCCAGGAGCAGATGTGACTCATCCTGTCGTCACTGCAGCCCCGCCTGTGCTTTCTCAGCATGTGCTTCAGGAATGGCTTTGGCCTGATGACTTTTTCTATGGCTATAAGGACAATTCATTTGTGCAGAACATAAACACTTCATTTCTCCAATGCACGTTTACACTCCTCCACATAACTCATTCGTTCACACCTGAGGCCTGCTACATGGAGGTGGTCACCACCACACTTCACTCAGCAGCACTGTCCCCTTTGGGCCCATGCCAGCCCCAGGACTCCAGCCTTCAGTGAACAGAGTTACAGGGAAGCTCATTTCATATGACCGATGGGGCTACAGGAAGATCCGTGGCTGAAAATTAACTCCACCCTGGGGCACAAGGCGGGGACAAAGTAACCTCAAAGGTGCCCCCTCACATTCTCACTGCCGGGGTGCCAGAGAAAGAGCATTAGCAGAGGATCAAGCAAACTTCTTTCACAGGTCTCCCTGGGAACCAGTTCCCCCACATTCCTGGCATTTACAGGCTCAGAAAACAGCGGGGCCTTTCCAGGCACAAACTCAACCCGGTCAGCGGTCAGATCCAGGCTTATCTTCACCCCCCACGTTTGTCTCGGCTTCTCTCAAAAGCGGATGCTGAATCATGGAACAGTCACCAAAGGTAAGTACTTAAAGAACTTTCCTAATCACCTCCAAGGAAATGATTTACGGTAAAAGGCTGGCACCAACAGCCTGCACCCTGAGGCCAGAGGCAGCACTGGCTGCAGAGCCTCAGGAGGCCTGCAGGGCGGTGGTGGTGGGGGGGGAACTTGTCAGCCATCACAGTAGAATCCACGGCGACAGTAACCTCTGCTGGGGGTGATTCAACAAAACTCATTTCAGAGGGCACAACGGGTTTACATCAGACAGAATTCACTGTTCACCAGGCAAACGTTAGCAGTGCTCGCAGGTTCTCGCCTACCCTGGAATCGGCTCAGCTCCTGGGTCCACTCGGGTCTGAGGGCCAGGCCTCCGTGGGCGCGTGCAGGACCGAGGTCATCAGAACATACACGTGGCTAGTGCATTTCTTCAGCTGCTTCTCCAGGTCTCCACGCCCAATCTGAAAGACTTCACTCTGTAATAAAAAGATTCATGTTATTTAGATTAATTTAACTCAGTACTAGATGCTTTTCACCCTTTCAAATGTGACTGGGATAATAAAGAATTAAGAATCTTCTTTCTAAATAAAAGTTTAAATAACTTTTAATGTATTCCTATGATTTTTTTAAGGCTGATACACAATAATTGATCACGTCTCTATCCCACCTGCCAGGACAGGCAGATGCAAGGGGAACACCCACAATCCATTTCTGCTCCCAACACACAAGAGCCAACAGGCACCAAGCACAGGCCAAGGCGTGTGCCCCCAGGCCAGGCCTGTGCCAGCTTCCCTTCTGCAACGTGAGCGTGCACGTGAGCGCAGACAGAACCGCGCAGGCCCCGGCCTCTCCCGACCTCTGCAGCCGGGGCTGCGGAGCCCAGGGCCGCCCACACGCCAGCACAGGGCCGGGGCACGACGTCGGCATGTCACTCCCTGTCCGCGCGAGAACGGTCTCAACCAGCGAGTCACTAAGGAGAGCGTTTCCACAGGCTCATACACTTCCCAAACCCGTGTGAGTGTCACGACTCTTTTCTCTTCGATAAACTAACTGACGCCCCGGATGAAGGGAAGTCCTCCGGGCGCTAACATGGACAGCAGGAACCAGTGAGTGGTCACTGGGGACTGAGGCTGGAGTGCAGCTGAGGTGCATCTGAGAGGGCAGGAGCGCCTGCCGTGCAGACAGTCCAGGCACCAGGACAGTCCCCCAGGGCAGAGTCCCTGTCACAACCCCCAGTCCTCATGGGTGGAACTGACCTGTTTCAAGACCCTTCCACATCTCCCTGCTCTGACTGCTTGGACTCACCTGTGCCGTGTGTCAGGCTCTGCTAGGGCCATCCCAGTGGTGACGGGACTGAGGAGTTGCCACACAGTTAACCACATGACAACTGACAAAGGCCACCTGCCAGCCAGACATCTGTGGTAGACAAGAGGAGCAGGTACGCTCCGCAGGTACAGAGGGTGGCAAGAGCGTGAGAAAAGTCAGGGCAGGGGAGGCTGTATCTTTCTTGCAAAAGAGAGTCAGAGAGAAACCGCGGAGGAAGTGGCACAAGAGCCACGGTCTGGGGACCGGAAGCCAGTCAGTCAGCAGGCTGAGCGCTGTGGTCCTGCCTGCCTCTCAACTTGCCTGGGTCTGCAGGTGAAACTGGCCCTAAAAACAGCCACCTAAGAACCTGAAAAGGGGGACATGGAGGTAGTGGGATGACAGAAAGCCCCAAAAGCTGGGCAGCTCTGTGGCCTCCAGCTCCTGACACACTCAGGTGGGTGACCCGGCCCCGTACCTTTCCGGAGCCTTCTTCTGCTGAATGCTCCCCAGTTCAGGACATCTCCCCCTGAAAACAGTGTGACCCCAACTTAGGCAAACTGGAGAGGCTTCTGCAATAGGTCCCCATCCGACTATCTCCCAACACAAGGAGTTTCAAATGCCAGGGCCATGCTGGTTAAAATAAGGGCTGTGTAAGACCGGACGTGCCTAGCGCTAATAGCAAGCATAGAAGTAGTTGTACTAAAATAAATGTATCACTCAGCACTGGATGGATTGATTGGCTGTGCCAGTAATAATCATATTAAGTGAAGCAACTGGGTTTCCTTTTAAATGATATTTATCATTATAATTTAATTAGATTGGAAATTAAGGCTTCACTCTGCCAAAAAAAAAGTGCTCTCATTTTCTACCTTGCCGCTGCATAAATCCATTACATGGGTGTGCAGTTAAACAAAGATTTCAACGGGGCGGACTCTCTGAGGCTTAGAGACACCCATTATTCCAAGATACAGAGGCTCCATATGCTGGAGACAAGTGAACGACAGATAAATAATTAACGAGTGGAAGGTAGCTAAGACGAAGAAGCCTACTTCCTAATTTCTCACAGTAGCTTCTAATTTAAGTGCTTAATTAGTACTAAGAATGGGTACCCACCACAAAAGGATGGAAGCCAGCGGGCAGCAGCAAGGGGGTGCAAGCAGGGCCGGAGTCACTGAGCCTGGGGGTGCAGGAGGGTGGACAGCCCTGGGCTGAGACGCTGGGTGAGAGGGAGGATGGGAGGCCTCTCGGCAGAAGGTGACAGGAACAAACCCTGCGTAAGAAAGAAAACCCGGTCCGTTTTCAGGAAGACAGCTCTGACGCCAGCGGGCTGGGACCAGAGGCTGGGAGGCCGTTTGGGTGGCAGAGCGGGAGGGCAGAGGGAGAGCAGGGACTGGCAACACCAGACACATCTCGGAGGGGGGGAGGTGAAGGGCTGAACTCGGGGGCTAACAGGCCAGGTGGAGAAATGGAACCAAACCTGAGCAACTCCAAGGATCCCGGCTCTGTGCTGGGGGTGACGGGATGTGACGGCCAAGGTGAAAAGTCAGAAAGAAGGAACTGCGGAAGAGGGTGGTTTTCAACTGTGCTGACTATAAAGACCTCCAAAGCACGTTAGCTGTCCTCACTGCTACTTCAGCTTCGACAGCAGCAGCACCTGCCCTGGTTAACTGAAGGGAGGACTGGGAGGAGTTGGCAGGGGACGGCGAGACCCCAACTGGGCAGAGAGAAAAAGCTGCCAACCTGGAATTCTAGACCCCACAAAAGCCTCTTTGCAATGACAAGTAGGATGATGTCAAACAAAAAGCCGAGAAGCTTTGCTAGCAGCAGACCCTCACTAGGGGAAGTTCTAAAAGACACAGAAGGTGAACGACCCTGGAGAGTCAGAACAGAAGAGAATGAAGATAATAGCAAGTGGCGTGTGGGCGTGTGGACCTCACAGACCGTTCTGGGGGGGAGGGAGGGAGCGCTCCCCAACCCTTCTCACGAGGCCAGCCCACCTAGACAGGAGGCCGGCCAACGATGTTCAGCGTTACAAATTAGTGGTCAGTGTCTCTTATGAGCAGAGACATAAAAACTTAAATCTAGTGCTATATAAAAGATAGGACTTCACAGCCAAGTTAAATATGTACACCCCGAGACTGCACAATTGGCTGAGTATTTGGAAATAAGTCACTGGACTCTGTCAACACTGGTTTTTCCATTCAAGAGTGCTTTAACTTAGACTCCTCAATAATGCAAGTTGGTATTTTTCCTAAATCTCCATTTGTACAAATCTGACACAGTTCTTAAGAAAATACATTCTACCTCTGGGAAGTAACTGAAAACAGGGAACATAAAGGAACTGATGAATTGAAATGTTTTTGCCAATCATGGAAATAAAGACCAAGTACATAAAGTGACTACACCTTCCTTCCTTACCGGAGGAAAGGCAATCCGGCTTAGAAGGTGCACCACAGCGTGGGGGTGGCCGGGCACAGTGCCCTTCGAAGATTCTAGCACGGCCATCAGGGAGTTACCGTAAGTAGAGAGGAAGGGTAAGGCAAGAGGGGGACCCCTGGCCGCTGCAGCCCTTCTGAATTTGTTTCCACAGAGGGAAGGCCATCTGGTGAGGGCCACGAGGACAGAAACAGCTGCTTCCCAGCCATAACGGAGCAGGTGTTCGCCGAGGGGTCGCAGAGTCCATGAAAACAATAAAATTATGCACGATACGGTGCTGATGCGCCCGGGGCATCTGTCTGGTAAAAATGTAACAGCTTCACTCAGATGCTCAGAAAAGCCTCTGGCCTCCACCGCTTTAGCAGAGAGAAGCCCAAAGCCAGCCCCTGGGGGGCTGTGAGCTAACCCCAAACCCAGTCCTTTCTTTCCCTGGCGCTTAACCAACAAGAGTTCACAGCCTTTCTTTTTCCAATACAACTACAGCTACTCAATGGTAGCCCATAAAGTGAATTATTAAGGGGCACGGAAATTCAGCTTCATAACCCAAACCTGGGGTGCTACTGGAGTTGACAGGTCTGATTCAGTCCCAAGGAGTATGGCTTCCACGCTCGGCAGCAGAGTTGGCCCCGTGGCTCGCTTGCACGGGGAGGCCACGGACCGCAGCTTCCAAAAGGACAATTCCTTACCAACAACTGCTTTTGTTTATCATGGATTTCAGCTGCCACCGTTCTTACTTGTATAATCATGTTAGTTTTGTTTCATCTTTGACACTAGTTTAATATGGGCTATTTGTGGGCACAGTGATGAAAATTTCATCTCTTTGTGAACCACAGTTTTTCGATAAGTAAACTTAACAGTATCATAAATCATCTCCACACTTACTGCCAAATAGATACACAGAAGCTCCCCACCCCCGCCCACTTTCTGTGGGGAACTGACATTTCACTTACTGGCACTGAGCTGGCTCAGAGAATGTGTGACTTAACTAACTTGCAACACACTATCGAGGGAAGTGTAACAACACTACCTGAACTCTTTCTAAGTTTATGGGGCACTCGGACATGCTATCAAGTGACCTGCACTCCCTGACAGCCGGAATATGCGGCCCACCAAGTGAAGTATTGATTACTTCCGGCAGCTACTTGAAATGGTGGGACCCGGGGGCGCGCTCGGGCAGCGGGGCTTTTAGGGACTGCAGTGTGCTCACCGCACAGACCAAGATGCACGCATTTTAACTAGTAAGGTGGTTATGTCACATAAAATCAGTTTTTTAATCTTCACCTGAGCGCATGTTTATTGATTTTAGAGAGAGGATGGGAGAGAGAAGGAGAGAAACATGGATCAGTTGCCTCCCCTACACTCCCCACCGGGGATCGAACCTGCAACCTAGGCATGTGCCGTGACCAAACCAGCGAACTTTCGGAGTACACGATGATGCTGCAGTCACCTGAGCCACCCAGCCTGGGCTGAAATCAGAATTTTTAACGAAAATTTTTTTCCACATGAAAGGAAAAAGGTAAAGTGTGACAGCCAGTCCTGCGACGAGGGAGGCGCCATCTGCACCGACATCTGCGTGTGACGAAAAGGGCTTGTCACAGAGTGATGAGAGGTCAGACCCGCGCAGGACACAGGAGTCCTGGCTGCGTACCAGACGCCCCACGGGGGCACCAGAATCCCATCCGTGTCACCGATGTCCCATTTAGAGAACACACACCGATTCGTGTGCGCTCGTCTGAGGTTTGCCTGTGCATCCCCCACACACAGCCATGGCCCCAAAGCTGGGCTGGAAAGTGAGTGCAGGTGTCAGGAGAACGAGCCGGTGTGCCCGGAGACGGCACCCTGGAAGCTGAGAGGGGCGGCCAGCGCTCAAATAAAGATGGAGGGCCCTGGAGGGAGAAACCCAGGAGCTACGACAGGCTGCCTGCTCCCCAACGTGTCCTCGGGCACGGACAGGAAACACCCCCGTGAAGCCTGTGCTGAAGTGCTACCCCACAGTAGATGCTGAAAGACAGACTGCTCCTCCAGGTGCCCTTGTCCTGGGTTCCTTTGAACCACGTCTGTCCCAGGACCTGGAGGGGCCTGCGGAGGTGCCGACAGGAGCCGCAGTCTATTGGGTGGGGTTGTACGTGAGGGGAGATCCCTCCCAAACCGGAACTGTCTTCTGGAGGGCGGCCCCTTGAAGGACAGGCTCCCCCACCAGGTACGTGTTCTAGGAACCCATCTGTGTCAGTGCACCAGCGGGCATTGTCGTGAGAGGCTGCATTCAGTGAGTTTGTTTTAAAGACTCTTTCAACACATTTGCCCATGTCATGACAGGTGATTTACAAGTGCATCCGCCCACACCAGTTCAGCGGTTTATGACCAAAAATGGCAAGGTCCCTGCGCCCCACCTTCCCTACTCACCAGATCTCGCCCCAGGGACTTTCTTTGTTTCCCCAGATTGAAGAAGCCCTGAAAGGGAAACAGTTTGCTGAGGGCAGGAGCACTAAAGGCATCAAAGTCAACAAGTTCAAAAACTGTTCTGTGCAGTGGAAAAAAACCTCTCGGTAGGTGCCCTGCATCAGATGCAGAGCGCTTTGAAGGTGACTAAAGTCAAACGTGCAAGAATAAATACACAGCTTTTTATAGATACACCGTTTCCATGCGGCGCCCCCTCACACACAGAAGAAAGACCTGAAGGACGCACACGGCACGTCCCCGGTGCGCGCTGTGAGGCGACGGGGCGCAGGGCCTCCCCCTTCCCGGCTGTGCACCTGCGCTGCGTACACAGGGTCCCCGCCGAGCCCATTTTGTTCTTGAACAAAACGTAACATTTCTTAAAAGAAACTCAGAAATGTAAGACGTGCTTTTGAAAGACCTGGAGTCGAGGCGGAGGGCAGATGCTGCGGAGAGGGCCCCGCCCAGACACAGGCCCGCCAGGTGCCCCCCGCCCCCTGGCCCCTTAGACGAGGCCGATTCCCAGGCTGGTCCCATTTATAAGGTAAAAAACCAGCTCAGTCAGCAGCTGCTCCTGTGCTGACGCCCAAGAGGAGCTCTGTCCTGGGGACGCTGACTGATGCAGGAGAGGACACCTCAACCAGCATCCCTCAGAGCATTCACCTTTCCTGCCCAGTACCACCTCGCGCAAAAGGTTTGGTCTCCACCAGCAAAAATGCACATTCCTTACGCAAAGGGTGATAACGGTGAAATCACTTAATGACCAAATACGTATCACTTCAGCTTTGGGCTTTGCAGAAAAGAACAAAATTAAGTCCCCTGAAGGATAAGTCGGTGCCCCCAGCATTTAACTGGGCGGGTGCCCTGGCCCCAGACCGCGGGGAGGGCTGGGCCGCAGGGCTGTGTTACATAACAGCAGACCACACAGCAGCCTTTCAGAGCAAGTGAGTAATTCCTTACGTGCGTTACAGACAAAGGCAGAAAAAGCACATGGCTTCTGCAAGAATTCTTGGGCTTCACTGATCAAAAATTTTTTTAAATGTCTCAACCATGAAACTTACATAGTAAATGTTGAAAACCCAGGGTGCAGGAGTGGGTGGGGGGAATCACACTGAGAGCATCGTCATGGGACACCAGGACCTCAGCGGTGACCTGACTGAGAGGTGACGGCACATCAGTAGTCGGGCCGGACTGTCCGTGGTCTCTGGCTCTTGCCGGTCAGGCACTGGCTGGCTGACGCTGAGCTACGGCAAAGCTGTGAACAGCCCTGGCTAACGAAGGCCTTACAAGGACACTGGTGTGCACAGGGCTTCAATCCGTGACAGCAGGCACGCCGAGACCACGTGCCTCGTCTCCTGCCCACCAACAGATAAGGTCAACCCCAAAGCAGGGGTTTTT